GTGGAGTGTAGAGTGTTTAGTGTAAAGTGTAGAGTGTGGAGTGTGGAGTGTAAAGTGTGGAGTGTGGAGTGTAAAGTGTGGAGTGTAAAGTGTGGAGTGAGGAGTGTAAAGTGTGGAGTGTGGAGTGTAAAGTGTGGAGTGTGAAGTGTGGAGTGGAAAGTGTGGAGTGGAAAGTGTGGAGTGTGGAGTGAGGAGTGTAAAGTGTGGAGTGTGGAGTGAGGAGTGTAAAGTGTGGAGTGTGAAGTGCAAAGTGTGGAGTGAGGAGTGTAAAGTGTGGAGTGCGGAGTGTAAAGTGTGGAGTGTGGAGCGTAAAGTGTAGTGTGTGGGGTCTGGAGTGGAAAGTGTAGAGCGTGGTGTGTAGAGTGTGGAGTGTGGAGTGTAAAGTGAGGAATGTAAAGTGTGGAGTGTGGAGTGAGGAGTGTAAAGTATAAAGTGTGGAGTGTGGAGTGTACAGTAAAGTGTGGAGTGTGGAGTGCGGAGTGTGGAGTGGAAAGTGTAGAGTGTGGAGTGTGGAGTGTAAAGTGGGGAGTGTGGAGTGTGGAGTGAGGAGTGTAAAGTGTAAAGTGTGTAGTGTGGAGTGTAAAGTGTAGAGTGTGGAGTGTGAAATGTGGAGTGGAAAGTGTAAAGTGTGGTGTGTAGAGTGTGGAGTGTGGAGTGTGAAATGTAAAGCGTGGAGTGTAGTGTAAAGTGTAGAGTGTGGAGTGTGGAGTGTAGAGTGTAAAGTGTAGAGTGTGGAGTGTAGAGTGTAAAGCGACGAGTGTAAAGTGTGGAGTGAAGAGTGTAAAGTGTGGAGTGTGGTGTGTAAAGTGTGGAGTGTGGAGTGGAAAGTGTGGAGTGTGAAGTGTGGAGTGTAAAGTAAGCAGTGTGTAGTGTAAAGTGTGGAGTGTGGAGTGTAAAGTTTAGAGTGTGGAGTGTAAAGTGTAGAGTGAGGAGCGAGGAGTGGAAAGTGTAGAGTGTAGTGTAAAGTGTGGAGTGTGGAGTGTAAAGTCTCAGGTGAGGAGTGAGGAATGTAAAGTGCAAAGTGTGGAGTGTAAAGTGTAGAGTGTGGAGTCTAAAGTGTAAATTGTGGAGTGTGGAGTGTAAAGTGTAGAGTGTGGAGTGCGGAGCTTCCCCCATAGACACGGCGACGCCACAGAAAAATGGAGTGTAAAGTAAGGAGTGTGCAGTGTAAAGTGTGGAGTGTGGAGTGTAATGTGTAGAGTGTGGAGTGTAAAGTGTAGAGTGAGGAGCGAGGAGTGGAAAGTGTAGAGTGTAGTGTAAAGTGTGGAGTTTGGAGTGTAAAGTCTCAGGTGAGGAGTGAGGAGTGTAAAGTGCAAAGTGTAAAGTGTGGAGTGTAAAGTGTAGAGTGTGGAGTCTAAAGTGTAAATTGTGGAGTGTGGAAGTGTAGAGTGTGGAGTGCGGAGCTTCCCCCATAGACACGGCGACGCCACAGAAAAACCAGAGACTCGAGACGAGACACGTGGGAGCACCAAAACCGAACATTTCATGCGAGACTTCATCCAATTTTGACATTTTCGACACGTTATCAAACAGGTTGGAATGTCACAAAGTGCCACGCCTGCCATGCCAAACGACATGACAACCTGCGTGGAAACATTCGAAAAGGACATGTTTTCCAGCTTCCCCCATAGACACGGCGACGCCACAGGCAAACCAGCGACTCGAGACAAGACACGTGGATGCAGAAAAACCAGCATTTCGTACGAGACTTCCTCCAATTTTGACATTTTTGACACATGATCAAACAGGTTGGAATGTCACAAAGTGCCACGCCTGCCACGCAAAACGACATGACAACTTCCTTGGAAACCTTCGAAAAGGAGAGGTTTTGCGGCTTCCCCCATAGACACAGCGAACCCACAGGAAAACCAGAGACTCGAGACGAGACGCGTGGGAGCACCAAAACGATTATTTCGCACGAGACTTCCGGCGATTTTCACAGTTGGCAACATAACAAAGGGACAAGTTTTGCAGCTTCCCCCATAGACACGGCGAGGCCACGGGAAAACCAGACACGCGAGAAGAGACAGGTGGGAGCACCAAAACGAGCATTTCGTGCGAGACCTCCTCCAATTTTCACACTTTGCAGCTTCAAAATCGACGTTTTCCTACGAGTTTTCCTTAGAACCTGGAAATTTGCAACCTGAAAATCGATGTTTCGTGCGAGGCTTCCGTCAATTTTCACCACATCGCACAAAATCCCACCCCTGCCACGGAATTCGCACCTTGTCGCCACTTGACGCAGCCCTGCCAATGCGATTTACAAAAAACGCGCAACAGGACACGTCTAAAGTGCTGCGCCTGCCAAGAAAAATGACGATGGACACGTCCAAAGTGCTGCGCCTGCCACGAAAAACTGCAACACATCTTCTGACAACGTCACAAAAGTATTGCGCCTGCCACGCAAAACGACTTTCGACACGTTCCAGAACACGTCTGAATGTCACGAAGTGCCACGCCTGCCACGCGAAACGAAGCAACAACACGTCTGAAACCTCCAAAAATGACCACCTCTGCAGAACTTCCCATAGGCACGGCCATATGGTCCTCGCGCGGACGGTTGCGAACGGTTGCGGACGGTTGCGAGCGGTTGCGACCGTGAACGCAACGTCGAGCGAACACACCCTCAACCCCCAGACCCCCAGAGTGAAACGGGAACCCTTGCTATGCATTCGGGAATATACTTAAAGAAAAAATACCTATATATAGTAAGACTAAATAAGATGACTAAATTTGACTGTGGATGTCGTATAGTGACAGATGTTATAACCCTGAACGATAGAAACCAACCGCATTGGAACTACTTGTTCAAAACCTTCGTGAATGTTTGTGGCAAGTGCTACAAGAAGCAAATGAAATTCCAATATATGGAAAACAAACTTATGGAGATGGAAAAGCAAAGAATGGAAATGTTTTTGGAAAACGAGGATGAAGAACAAGACACATACTTTGACCTGACAGAGTTGAAGGAACATCTCAAAACCCTCCCACCTAATGAAAGACACAAAGTGAAGGATTTTGAGAGGTTAAGAAATCTTGCCAATGGACAAGACCCAAATGAAGGAATGAATGAAATTGATATGGTAATAAAGGAACTGGAAGAGGAGGAAAGGGAAAATAAAAACCAACCTGAACCCGAAAACTGAACGAGCCCCCAAAAACTACTTAAAGAAAAATTACCTATATATAATAAGAGGATGCTATTTACTTATAAAAACTGTGGATGTTGTAAAAAAGAAATGACTAATGTAAAGGTTTTATTGAACAACATTTTCCCCGCTGGAATTTGTGATGAGATATGTGATTACAACCTTCATTGTGAAAAATGTAAAGACTTAAACGATAGGGAGCGTAGATACATAGACTTCAACTATCATTTTGACTATCTTAAAGATAAAGAACTGACAAAAGTAGAAAAGACAATCTATTTCTTCAAAACAAGGATGGAGAAATCGCCTATTTATTTATCCAACACGAACCGAACAAATGTAAGAACAATGAAGAAAGAAATAGATGACCTAATGGATACTTACAAACTTAAACAAGAATTTCAAAAGGATAAAGTATATCTTCAAGCAATCAAGTCTTATGTAAAAAACAATTGGAAATTTACCTATCATATTCTCAAGAACTTTCACGACCTTAATTTTATCAATAAGAGTAAGCGAGAGAGATGTTGGTGGTTTCCTAATGTTGAACGGACTTTTATGTTTAGAAACAGGGAATTCAAGATAAAAAACATTTTGGAAATCTTCTTGCGAGAATACACCAAAGAACTTTTTAATGGCTATGAAAAGTATTTTGACGTAGAAGAAGTAAAAGAGCACCTACAAAAAGTGGTAAATACTTAAAGAAAAAATAAATATATATAATAAGAGAAAATGAGTAAAGCAAAAATTCAGGTGATAGATAGAGATAATATCGGTATATATGCTGACTTTGGAAGTGAAAGTGAGGATGAAGAATGGGAAAGAAAAGCAATAGAAAAAGAAGATGAAGAGATTAGAGACTTTGTAAGATGTCATCCTATGCCTTCACCAGACGATGAGGAAGGAGACAAGTTTTGGAAGAAAGTAATTGATAGGATGAAATCAGGGGAAGGAGTAACGGATATGACAATATATATGTTTGTAAATTTTGCTATAATGAAAAAAATGTATGAAAACCTCACTGATAAAAAAGTAATCATTGATTGTGGAAAGGAACTTAACAGAGATGGAAAATTCAACGCTATGATTATCAACCTAACGCTTTTATCAATAGCAATGGATGAACTAAATGATACAAACAAACCGTGTCTAACTCAAATGAGAGTGATTGAACACTGGTGGGATGGAATAGGAAAGTGGAAAGCATAAATGATTAATTCATAATATCTTAACAAAATATATTATGAAGTAATCACCCACCCAAACACAAACATAAAACCCCAACAGCCTAAACAATTGACCCCCTCATCTTATCCAAACATCAACACATCACTTTAGCATCAAAATGACCCCCCAAAACCCCACCTGAAAAAACATCAAAACCAAGGATGAAACATTGAACCCCAATATAAAATCATAACAAGCAACATACAAACATATATGCCCTGAAACCCCCATTTTTCCATTTTTTTCCCAGTTTCTTCCCTGCAATCTTCGATGCTGGCATGGGGGTCATGAGCGATTACCATTTTTATGCTGGATGATCAACAAATATCAACAATGAGATTTTGGGGTACTGTATCCTATTTTCCGAGACATCCATAATATCCCCAAGACTTGAGTGTGTCATTTCTCTCTCTCTCTCTCTCTAGTGACTTCAGCTGGAAAGAAGTCCGATTCAGAAACTCCACTGGATTCAGAAACTCAGGATTCAGGAACTGGATGTCGGATTCAGAAACTAGATGTCGGATTCAGAAACTGCAAGCGTAGCCAGTTTCCGAATACCACCGTGACCACTTCAGCTGAACGCTGCAGTCGGAGAGTCGGACAACTGGGCTGCTGTGTGCTCAGGAGACCCTTGGGAAAAGCGTGCAAATAGCAAGTAGCCCTGAGCACGAAGCGAATGATTCTGTCTTGGAGGCGTGGGGCCCGTGGGGCTGCCAGATTTGAAAGACTGTCTCACGAATTCCTCTCCATGTCTGGGTTGCAAAAATGCGGTACTGGGTTCCCCCCAAATCTTTTGATTGATCGTCATGTTCCCCATCTAGAATGGAGTAGGATATCCCCTTTGGCTTGAGACAAACCCAAATATTGATATCGATCCATGCGAATCAACCAATATTCATCTTATCACATGAATATCACATGAATATTTGAAAAATTGGCTTGATTTTGTCTTATGACGCCCAATTTGGCTTAAGTATGCTTAAGTAATCACACAATGAATCATCCAATGGAGATGCACCGCTTGGCAGGAATTCCCCGGCAGGCACAAGGCCACAGACTCCAAGCATGAGGGTGTCATGGAGGCAGCTGGAAGATTCCAAAGACCTCAGGAAACAGGAGATTTGTTCCAAAAAGTGCGTCAGACGTGGACTTTGGTGATGTTACAACATGTTACAACATGTTACAACATCATGCCTTAAATATCAGCGTTTGCGTTTGGACCATCCCCAAAGACCTTAAGATGATTTCAAGATAGGAAAATGCCGATGAGTTTTGATGAGTTTATATCATAAACCATCATGATTCCCATCATAATTCTTGGCTACCAATGGAACATATTCCATTGATCCCTTGGTACAATGGGGTAGGTCCCTGAGCCAACTCCTCAGCGCAGTGCGTCCTCCGTTTTCTTCGCACCTCGGATATGGCTGGGGAATATCATGGGATGTGAGGCCGATATGATGAATACCTATGAATACTATACACAATACGGGATAATTTTTTGGGATAATATGGGATAATATGGTTTATGGGATATATAGTAATACGACATAATACGACTATAGAAATATATGGGATAATAATGGATAATAGGGTTTTGTCCCGAAATGGGGGATATGATTGTCACATGCAGAACCGAACGTTCGCCCAACATGAGATAATTTTCCATATTTTCCCAAAACTCTCACATCTCTCTCATCAACTTCAACGCAAATAACATAACAACAAGGTAACAAATATGCACCCCCCCTCAAACAATATGTCGAAGGTATTGGTCATGGCGGATTTGGTTACAAAAAACACATAAATATAGGGTATAAATCTGCCACCCCCTAAACAATACGTAGGAGGTTGAATGGGGTTCCTCCGTAAAACGCTGCCTTTCTGGTTTCCCACGAAGTCTTAGAATCCAAGGACGCTGCCTCCAACCAAGACGAAGACAGATCGTTGCATTCTGCGGCCTCTGGTGCTGAGTCTGATGCAACCGTCCGAGATGGCTGTGATTTGTAGCTTGGAACCGGTGATGTGCATCGCACCAATCGGATCCGCGGTTTATAATCCATATATAAGCATATATAAGCCATATTTCATCCGATATATTATATATGTGGGGATATTCCATATGAGATGGGGTCAAATTAAGCGTAGACTACTTTTGGTAAGGGAGGGTCCAGTTGTGTTGAGAAAGTGCATCAAACCATGTAAAGCGATAGGGCCCCACCAAAAACGATAACTTGTAACCATATTGAGACTACATTAATTAAACTTGGTGTAAACCAAGCAAATATTGTTGTGTGCCTTCACGCGATGGGCAAAATTGATGAAGAAAATTCAACCTGCAGCGCCCACGTTTCTTGCAGTTGCCATACCATTTGTTGTCCAACGTGATTGAACCGTTGCTTTCTGCAGGCAGTTGTTTCTTTTCGTACCAAGCATCAACAATTGATTTTGACGGCGGCTCATATATGTATACATGCATATATATATATATATGACATTATAATATATATATATATATACATAACTGGGGGTATAACCCATTTTACTAAGTGCGATGCACCCCCAAGTAGTATCAAGTAGTGAAGCAACCATGGCGGGAGTACAGCTGTGGACCAAGATAAAAAGAAGCACATGTAGATGATGGTAGATGAACTCGTTAGCATTTGTCAATGGAATTGCATATTTTGTGGGTCAAAATATACTGGATGCCACGGTGACCCATGCCCATGTGGCCCATGTGAAGTTGCTATGGGATCCCCCAAGGAATCGACACGCCCAAGATGTCGCACACTGGACAGCCGATGCTCCCACTGCTGCTATTCATTCAGAGGTGGTGTCTCGGTCGTCACCGTCAGCTACTGCATGTTATTGTATGTGCTACCCTCTGGTTATTTAACATAGCCATGGACAATGGCCCATTTATAGATGGTTTACCTATTAAAAATGGTGATTTTCCATGGCTATGTTAAATAACCAGATGGTAGATCCCCTGGCATGGGCGTTTTAAGTAGAGAACCTCTGAGTGCGTCGCTGAAGTAGGTCTTGAATGGGATAACTTTCAGCGATGTGAGTGACACTCCCTAACTTATCATTTCTGTTTGACGTGTGTCCAAAATCACCTTGACACCAAAAAGTACAATGTTTTTCAAGTGCTCACGGGGATGACAAGGCTTTTGAAAGCCGGCAAGTTTTTAACGAGGCAAAACAGGTGCGACGCGTTTTTCGCGTTTTTCTTCGCGACGCGCTTCGCAGATTCCCATCCACAGAGTTGCAGGTTGCTGTTGAAGTGGAAGCAAGACGCCCGAGACGACAACGAGTTTCAACCATTCCTCCCACAGTTGCTTGCCATGGCCTGATTGGGTTGCAAGATGTTGCAAGATGTTGGCACACGCTGCTGTACATTGCGGTCAAGCCACCAATGAGTCCAGTTTTTGGGGGTATAAAAATGTATTAAATACAATGTATTTCATTTGGTTATTGTTGGGCCATGGTTCCGCATTATTTCATGGCATTGACGGTGATTCAATCCTAATTTTGCTCGGAAACCCTTACTCTACCGACCTCTTTTGGCTACAACATTCGCAACGTGTACAATGATGCAGTGGCTGAGTTACAGCCCACCATATCCCAGTTCTAAGGGCTTATACGATTGCTTACGCCAGTAAGTAAGCACATACTATGTGGTTAAATCATCCTCAATAAATCTAAATCATCTCAATTCATCCCAATCCATCTTAAATCATGTATCATCTTGGATCTTAATTTTTTTAACTTAAAAAATCATCTCAAACTATGATCATAGATCATCATAGATCATCATAGATCATCATAGATCATCATAGATCATCTCTTAAATACCCAAGCTTTCTCCCGTTGATCGCGAGCCACTCATCCCGGGATCATCCGTTGATCCGCCACGGCGCACCGAGGCGCGCGCCTCAGAGCGCTCCAGCGAGGAAGAGGTCCAGCGCGTCTATCGACAGATCAACGACCGCGGCCGCGCGCTGGCGAGTCTGGAGGACGCTTCCGCCATCGGTAGCCACAGCGGTCCCCACTGGGATTTTTGGAGCTCTGGAGGTTTCCAACAAAGTCATGGTACCAGGGGTTTCAGAAACATCCATTTTTGAAGAGGTGTGGAAACCACAGTTTTTTGTCCAAAAATGGGGTAGGCCTATTTTAAGAAACATCCATTTAAGATGATTTTCATGGGATGAGTGGGATTTAGATGGATTTAGAATGAATGAGTTTTCTTTAATGCTGTATGATGAAATATGATGAACTATTAGATTGTGAAGAATTGGGCAAAATGGCGATTTACAGCTGTATATGGTTAAGAGATGTTAGGACACATCTAGAGGGTTGCCAAAGCTCAGACATGTGGGGGTCCTGCAATTCATCGTTTTCTGGTTTTGATCCATTCCCATATTCAATAGATTTCAATCGATTTCAAGCGAAGGTTTTAGGGCGTCGACATCTTTTTTTCACCGGGAGTTTGGACCCCAATTTTCGCCATCGTCGCCATTGGTTTTTTTGGGGGTCCAAGTTTTGGATCCCCAAATGATTTGGGATATCAAGTGGGCCGAAGGGCCAAGAATAGGATGGAGAATGTGGAGTTGGTTGCCACCGAAAATTAAGGTCCTTGGTTAAAAAAAGGATCGTGACTCAGTCGCCCCGGGACAAAAAAGTGTTTTTGCAGGAATATGTTGTTAGAGGGATGTGTTTAAAAGCGGACTTGGGAACATCAACAACATCAATACCCTCTGGTAATTTAACATAGCTATTGAAAATGACCATTTATAGTGGATTTACCCATTGAAAATGGTGATTTTCCATAGTTTTTTGTATGTTTACCAGGCCGGGTAACTTTGCTGTAAACCTTTGGCCTTGGAATGGAGCAGAAAAAATGTTGGGTCTCCAGTGGTCCCCAGTTGCAGGACCTGCGAGCATATGCTGGAGACTTTCTTGGCTTTGGCCAAGCCGAAGTTGAGCGCTTCTTTGAGGAGTTCTCAACTTCCGAAAGCCCGTGGCTTGGATGCACTTGCGGCATGGAACCCTACAAGCCTGTTGCGATATATGACTATATGGATATGTATATATCAGAAACACACACATACATACACATGTACATGTATTATGTATAAACATGTATACATATATATGTGTGTGTGTATCATGTCTGTAGTCACATGGGTGGTGGATCAGGCCCTTGCAAGCTGAGGGCTTCATCGCTGCCAATATCTTCCATGACCCACTTGGACTCATTTGGTAATCACAAGATGGGACAATCACCGAAAACCATGGTTTGATCCCAACAAAATATAACTGGTTGGTGGTTTGGAACATGAATTTTATGAACTTCCATCTATTGGGAATGTCATCATCCCAACTGAATTTCATATTTTTCCAGAGGGGTTGAAACCACCAACAAAA